CTAGATTTTAACCTAAATAGAGAAACATATATATGGGTTATATTAAGAGAAATTTTGAGAAATGCCACTTTTTAAAAATTATTTACTCATTATATCATTTACGTTTGAATTAACTATGTTGTATTAATATTTAGTTTTGAGGGTTTATGAGTTTTTAGGAGTCAAAACATTTTTAGGGTTTATAATTTTAATTAAGATTTGGGTTTTAAAATTCACAATTAGTGGTATTTTTGTAAATGGACAACTCATAGTAGAATTTTTGCAAATATACACATCAAAAATGACATTTTTGCAATTGTCTATATTAAAAATCATTACATGCTTAATTTTGAAATGGGAGCTTTTAACCCAATGTCAATAATATTACCTTGGATTTTTAGATAAAGAAAACATACCACAATTTTTTTATATATATATATAACATTTAAAAGTAAAATTACATAACAAAGTAAGCAAAATTTATTATAAGTAAATGTCTGCTTTTTGTGTTTTTTTGTAAGATAGCTAGGGCAAATATTTTAGGGTGTTTTGCAACAATAACAAAAATAAAACTATAGTTTACAATCTAACTAAAACATTAGAGAGAGACAGAAAGATATATGGAGAGAAAAAAGAAAAATTAATTAGTTTGTGTATTATATTTTTTTTTGGGTTCTATATGTCAATTTCTCAATATTTTATACATCTAATCCACAATAACAAAATCCATTATTCTTTTATATAAACACTCTCTGAACATCATCCCCACGAATTACTCTTCGAACGCCATGACACATATTCATATTATCATTACCTAATCTTTTGTTATAATAGTTTTGGTTATTTAACTTATTTATATTTGAATGACTCATATATTGTACACATATGACACACAAGTAAAATAATATTTACATAAAATCCTGACGAATGCATACACAACTTTACTTTAGTTATGTCATGGCTCCTTTGCTCTCTTATATATATACACAGACAAACTCAACGTAGAGAGCTATGAGAAAAAAATATCAAATCTTCAATAATATTCGAACAACTAGAGGTTTTTTAT